GCTCCCCACGGCTCAGAACGGCACGGAACGGAACAGCAGAGCACGGCTCCGGGGACAGGCGGGTTTCCAGCTGGCCACGGCGTTCCCGGCGCGTCTCAAGGCCGTCTGTGTCCTGTCCAAGGGTCGTGTTTGCCGGCGCGGAGGGACAGGGTGGCTCCGCAGCGCTGTCCCCTCCGCTCCCAGCTCAGGGACCTCGCCCCCTGCCCCGCGCCCCCCGCGGGTGGGGACAGTGGGGGGCACGAAGCCGCAGCCGCTCGGGGGTCCGAGGAAAAAGGCAGGAACTTAACTCCCATTAGCCATCCCATTGTACCGGCCGTGGGAATAATCGGGTTTGCTAATGCAATTGCTGCCGCGATGCGAAAATCCGACTGGAAAATGTATTAGAGCAATTATCCGCCTCCCTCCGCAGCCGGCGGAGCATTAATATTCAATTTTGATGTGGAAGCCCTATTATGTTAATGACTTTGGTGACAAAAGTCGTTAATGTAAGTCGGTTCCTTTATGGCGCGGCATTAGCCGGGGCGAGCGCGGCCGCGGCCGCGGGGCGGGATGGAACGGGGGCCACGGTGCGAGGATCCGGGTTGGGGCTGCTTGGGGAGCCGGGATGAGCCCCCTCCCCACCCCGCACAGCCTTCACGCCTCGGGCCGAGCGGCCGCTCCCCGCAGCCCGAGGTGCCGGTGCTCCGGAGGCTGTGCCGGGGCGGATTATCCGCGCTGCAGCGCATCCGGCAGTGCCGCTCCCTGCGCTGCAGCTGCCCTCCTTTGTTCTCTCCTCGGGCCCCGGGAGATGCTCCGGTGTTTCCCTCCCTGCCTGCCGGAGAGCGCGGCGGGGCCGGCCCGGGCTGGCCGCTGTCCCGGCCATCAGGTGACACCGGGGCTGTGCCCCTGCGCCGGTGCTCGGTGCTGCTGCCGTGGTTTGGCAGCGCCGTAGGCAGGCCTGGCTGGATGGGGGGATGGAGCCAGAGCTGGTGATGGGAGATACGGGGAGGGGGATGAGGGCCAAACCAGCAGCGGAGTCAGCACTCCCTGGCCTGGCCATCAGCAGCCACCACCACGGCTCGCAGTCGGGAATGTCAATGCCATGGCTAGTGTGACATTGAGCTGTGCTGTGCTGGTGTCCTGGAGCACCATGGAGCTGGGAGCTGCCTGTGACAGAGAAAGCAACCGTGACCTTCACCTTTCCAGCAAAGAGCTCGTCCTCCTGCCGCTGGGCTGGGAGTGCCATGGGTTTGCCACGAGAGTGGGCATGAGGCTGGACTGGCACTGGGGCTGGTTGGGAACCAGGATATTTCCCACAGCCAAGGAGGGGACAGCAGATCCTAAACACAACCCTGGCACAGGATGGGATTTCCCGCTGGTCCTTTCCGGGATCCCTTGGGAAGCTCCAGTCCCCTCCATGTAGTCAGTGCTGGGCACAGCCCTGTCCCAGTGCACAGATCTGCCCGTGGCTCTGTCCCAGCCCTGGAGTTCCCTGTGTGGAAATGGGGGCTGCAGCAGTCGAGATTTGCTGCCCAGAGCCCCCAGCACGATGCCCCCCATCCCAGTCCCGGCAATAACGGGCGAGTGGGGCCACAGGCAGCCGAGTACAAAATAACCCTGCTGCCACCTCTGGCTGTCAGGGCCAGCCCCGACCCACAACACACCCCGGACAGCGCCCGAGGTTTGCAGAGGGGCTGGGGCCGCTCCGCCGTGGTCCCTTCGGGGTCTACGGGAGCAGGAAGGGGCCGAGCCGTCGGTGACACCGGGACCCGGCAGTGACAGCGTATGGACAGGCACGTGTCCTTGGCACTGCTGGGGACACATGCCGGTGGCACGGAGCCCAGCACGGCCGCGCCGGGGTCCCCCGGACCCCTCGCTGTCCCCGGTCCCCGCGGAGGCGGCTCCGCGCGCACGTGGCCGGGCCGGGCCGTGCCCCGCACTCCGCCCCGCGCCTCCATTGGCCCAGTGTCCCCGATCCCGCGTTCCCATTGGCCCAGAGCCCCCGATCCCGCGTTCCCATTGGCCCAGCGCTCCCCATCCCGCGCTCCCATTGGCCCCGGAGCCCTCCACAAACAAAGGCCGGAGCCCGGCGGGGGGCCAGGCGCGCTGTTCTGATTGGCGGAGCCAGGGGGCGGGGCGGCCCCATCAGGCCCCGCCCCCAAGCAGCGCCGGGTGCCCTAATATGGAGTTGGGCGGGGCGCGCTCATTCATGCGCGCGGGGAGGGGCGGGGCCAGCGCGGGGCTGCGCTTCCCGCCCGCGGCGCGCGCGGGTGAATGAACGGGCGCGCGCGGGGCCAGCGCTGCGGACCCGTGCGGCTCGGTAAGGTCCGGTAAGGCACCGTGGGGCTCGGAACGGCTCGGTACAGCTCGGTGCCTGTGCTAGGCGTGGGGACGTGCGGGTGGGGAGCGTGTCGGTGTGTGACGGTGCCGGCGTGGGGCGGGCGCGATCGTGTCCTGAGTGCCCGTGGCCGCGCGTGGATCCCCCGTGGTTGTATCCCCGGTGCTGTGTCCACCTGCAGGCCCCTCTGTGCCCTGCACACCCACGCGTGCTTTGTTCTGGGGGGAGAAGGGGTCTTCCCCCACGGCCTTGGCTCTGCATCGCTCCTGCCCAGCCCCTTGGGCAGCATCAGCCTCCCGAACGTTTGGGGTCCCCCATCCCAAAATCCATCCCATGGTGAGTACCCACTGTGGGGCCCCACTCCTGACACCGCGGAGGGGACAGCACGGCCTCACACCTCCCTCCAGCACAGGCTGTGCTCTTTGTCCCATTCTGCTTTAACCCTCCCCCCAGATGAGTTTGGCCCCTTGCCTCCATCCTCCTCATCTCGCCCATAAATTCATTCTCAATCCCATTCCCAACCTGCCAGGCCCTCGCGGGACATGCGGCGGCTCCCAGCTCGTGCTGGAGATACGAACTGAACTTTGGTCCCTGAGCAATTAAGGTGCCTGAAACTGCACTTCATTAATGGTTGTTCCGCAATAAAACCCATCAAACTGCCCTTATTTGCAATATAAAACTGCAATTTGTTTTAATTTATGTTTTTCAATCCCTGCCGGGTGGTTCCCAGAATCTGCCAGGCATCTGTTACTGGGACCAGCTGTCGGGAGCAGGGTGGCCCTGGGTGCTGGTCCCTGGGTGAAGGGGGGACATGGGGTAGGGTGTGGGTGGGCTTGGCCCAGGTCTGGAGAGGGGGTTCCCTTTCCTTCACATTCCCTGTGGACCCTGCGCTGTGTCGCCCAAGAAAGAAGGGCAGGGATGCTCTGATGGTTCCAGGGAGGAGCATCCCCGTGCCATGGGAGGTTCATGGGAGCCCCCTGGCATGGAGCTGCCCTGAGGTGAACTCCCGAACAAGAGTGGGATGAGTGGGAGCAGAGATGGACCCAGCTGTTTTCCTGGGACAGCATCACCCGTGGGAGCTGGGAATCTGGCTCAGCTCAGCGTGTGCCAGCACACGTGTGCACATCCCTGCGGAGCAGCATCGGACACACCAGCGGCCCCTGGACATCCCGAGCGATTTGTGCTTCCATAAAGCAGCGCAGGATCCCTGTGGGATCAGCCAGCCCTGAGCCCCCATTTCTAATTACAGTAATTGTGGCTCTGGCATCCTCTGGGGCTGCTTGTTCTCCGTGGCTCCAAATCCGGCAGGAGGAATCTGGGCCATGGGGCAAGACTGGGAAGGGCTCTGAGCCACCTGGGATTCCCAGTGGATCCTGTGGTGGGATCCTGCTGCTGGCTCCCGAACCCAGCAGGGCCCTTTGCCGGCTCCAGTGTCCCCTGCCGGCAGAACAGGGTCGGGGTCCCTCGTGCTGCTGCCCGGCCCTTCGGAGTGCTTGGGGCTTTCGAGAGAATTCTCCTTGCTCTCAGCAGGTTTGTGATGGGAAGCTGCCCTGGCTCTGCTGGGACAGAGCCCGGCTCCTGCTGGAGGCAGAATTTGGGATGTTCTGACGGTACCTGAGGGGCTGCAGCAAACCCCAGTCCCTGGGGATGGGCACGGACGAGCCCCGCGGCTGCGGCACAGGAGGGTGGCAGAGCGGGGGCGGCTTCCCTGGTGTCCCTGTCCCGTGTCACGGGGACTCCTGGCTGGCTCTGCACATTTCCCAAGCCCCCAGCTCCCACTCGGACATGGAAAAGCCACCGGAGCCCTTTTGCTGACCATGGACGACATTCCCGAGGGGATCCCTCATCCCACCCCGAGGACACACACGGACACAGGAGCCACCGTTCCAGCACAGGAGCCAGGAAAACACAGCCGGAGCTACCGATCCCGCGCCGCACCTGGAGGGAATTAGGCCGCCTGTTCACCTCCCTGCAAACCTTTTGTAGAGCGAATTCCTGCGGTTTCCCATCGCAATTGCTGCAAATTATACGAGCGCCGCGTTTCGTTCCCGTCCCGACGGGAACGTGCCCTTGGCGTGTGCCACTCTGAGCTGCCGCCACGCTTGGCCTCGGGGGACCCTTCCAGAGCCCTCCCCACATTTTTCCTTGTTTTTCCCTTATCCTGCGGGATGGGGGGGGGGTACGTCTGGGGGTGGCTCCGGTTGGGATGGGGAGCAGATGTGTGTGCGCAGCTGGATGCGTGCCCAGATGTGCAGGCGGGAGAGGATGCCGGGGGTGATGGGCTGTCCTCGAGGGGCTTTTCTGAGGCCGCCATCACACCGGGGACCCCCGCTGGGGTGCCAGCGCTACCGCAAGATGTGTGGTCATGTATGTGTGTGCACACACGCATGTAAAGGCACGGGCACGCCCATCTCCGTGCCTTTCCACGCATGGATCTGCATGGATGTGTGTTCTCGTGTATTCCCGCACCTCCCTGGCCGTGCGCAGCTCTCCGGGGGTGCCCTCAACCATGGGGATCCCCCCTTTATTCTCCACCACCAGCGAGTCCAGACCTCCAAGGAGGCAGGAGCGTCCCCGCTCCGCCGCGCGGACACTTCCTGCGGGGCAGCGGAAGTCGGAAGTGCCGCTGTGGCCGGTGCCGGGTCGGGGCGGGCCCGGTGGGGCCATGGCGGGCACGGCCGGCTGAGTGGGACCGGCGGCACCGGGCGCTCCGAGCCGGCGGTGGGGCTCGGGGAGCGGCCACAAACCGGGTCCCCCGCCGCGGGGATCCTCCGCCGCGGGCCATGGCGGCGGCGGCGGGTTCCAACTGGGGCCTGATCATGAACGTGGTGAACAGCATCGTGGGGGTGAGCGTGCTCACCGTGCCCTTCTGCTTCCGACAGGTGAGGGGCCGCCCGCCAGGGTGCTGTGTCCGAGCGGGGTCCTGCCGGTGTTCCCCGGGCTGGGGCGGGGATGTCGGTCCGTGCCCTTGGCAGCCTAATGCCCCTGCGAGCTCCTCCACGCCCGGGGGAGGCGGGCAGAGGCCACCTGTGCCTTTCTGCTCGAATCTGGGGGGTGGTTCTCTGGTTGGAAAGGAAAGTCAACAAAGGAAAAGCTTCAGACCCAGATCGGACGTCTCTTGTTCCGAACACTGGAAGTTTTGGAATTGGTTTTTCTTAGTCATGAAGTATCCAACTCAAAACTTCTGCACCAAACTGAGTGTTTCCCTGTCCTGTGGTCCCCAACTGTTCCTTTCTGTCTGTCTTTTAAAGAGAAGGGAAGAATTAAATCAAAGGATTTACCCATATGATAAACGGGACTTAACTTGGAGGCTTTTCCAAACTCTCGCTGTGCCCCCACAGCCCTCCCTGGGATCTGGGTCGGTTCCAAAGCACCTGCCTGGTGCCCTGTGGTTCCCAGCCTTGGGAACAGGGAGGGCAGTGAGGCAGTGAGCTGGGTGAGGAGTTTGTGAAGCCAGATGGCTGTTGATAAATAAGTTTGCAGCAGAGATGGCACCTCGGGGTCTATCTGTGCTCCCTGAACCTTTGGGGAGCTGTGGAGGGATGAGCCAGGGTGGGAATTCTACTCCACAAACTGCTCCCAGTTCACTCCTGGGTGCTTGGACTGGTGCAGCTGTGGTGTGTTCCACATGTCCTTGTGCCATGGAGAGAGCGATATGGAGCTGGTAGGAAGGGGACGGAACTTTCCGAAAGAGGGAAAAATGTGTCTGGAACACGTGGGGGGAGCTGGGGATGCTGAGGGAGGGTGGCTGGGCTGTGGGGGGGGCCTGACCCCCCATCTCCTGCTGGTCTCTTGCCATTGCAGTGTGGGATCCTCCTGGGAGCCGTGCTGCTGATCTTCTGCTCATGGATGACTCACCAGTCCTGCATGTTCCTGGTGAAGTCAGCCAACCTCAGCAAGCGCAGGACCTACCCCGGCCTCGGTGAGATCCCAGCTCTGGGGCTGCTTCCCAGCCCTCCTGCTCTTCTGACAGCACTGTGACCTTGGCCTCCCAACTTGCATTTCCTCAGTGGTGCTGTTGGAACAACAAATGTTTTCTTGCTGCAGTTCCCAGTTCCCCGTGTTCTGCCTCAGCCTCTCCCCCGGGGCAGTGCTGGGGTTGGATCCTGCTCCCCACAGCCCTGTTAGTGGGTGTTGAGTTGTTTTGACTCTGCGGGGCAGGGGAGGAGATGATCCAAACCCCAGCTCCTGGGAGCCATCTGGGATGAATTGTGGGTCTGGGATGAATTAATTATGGGTCTGGGCACGAGTTCCCCACCCAGCGCTGCTGGGACAGCGGGTCCTGCCAGCCTGGCACAGAGCTGGGCTGCCTGGATCCGAGCTGGGAGCTCCTTTATGGCTCAGCAGAGAGGAAACAGAGCGAGGTTCCAAAGGGCTGAGAAAATAAAAACATCTGGAAGATTCCTGGGTGGGTTTTGGCAGAGCTTGGCCGCCCTCAGAGCTCAGTGCTGGCGCCGGGATTGGTCTCTGCTCGTGGCTTCTCATGGGATTCTGACTGACTTGGGGAGCAGGAGGAGGTGTTTGGGTTCCAGTCCTTGTCCTTGGCATATGAAGCAGCAGGAAAAGTTGCCTTTACCTTGTTCTGCCTTACTTCTCTGAGGGAGGAGGAGCTGGTTGTCACTGCCCTGGCACAAGGGCTCGCACCAGCTGCTGACAGATGGGTTTGCTCCTCCCTCAGAGTGCCCGAGGTGCTGCTCCCAGGAAGCACATCCCAGCTTCTGCCGACTTGTATCTGCTAGAAACGGAAAAGATGGAGAAGCTCCTTGGTCTGGGAGGTTGTTTTGGTGCCAGAGGGAAGGGGGAGCCTCCGGAGCGCCCGGCCCAGCTGCCGGTGCCGCCGCTCCCTGCCCCTCACAAGACGCCTTTGTGTGCCGCTTCCCAGAGGACACAGAGTCCCCCGCACCTTGGAGCGTGTCCCAGGAAGAAGGGATCCTCTGCACACCCCAGAGCCAAGGGGCTGCAATACAGAGAGGGCCAGTAATGCTTCCCAGCTTCCTCCTGGCAGCAGCGGCTGTGCCCGCTCCCGGTGCCCTGGGAGAGGTGCCACGGGCCGGGAGCGCTCCCACGCCGCATCCCAATGCTCCGAGGTCGGGCAGCTCCACACAGATCCCCTTTGTCCCCACAGGCTGGGCACGGGGACATCTGGGGGTACTCCTGGGAGGCTTTGGCAGCGCTGAGCCGTGCAGGAAAGTTGTGCACATTCCCTGCAGGCAGGCAGTGCCTTCCGGAGGAACACCGGCAGCCACGGCCCCGGCACAAAGGGTGTCCCAGGCTGGGGCTGGCGCTGGCTCGTCACCGCTGTGGGAAGGGGAAGGGCTGCAGGGAGATGTGTGGGTGAGGAGGGAAGCGGGAGGCAGTTCCCAGATGGGTTTTAACCAGGAGATGAGCGAATCCCTCCCCTTCCAGCAGCACTGGGGATGTGCTGGGGCTGTTCTGGGCAGCTCAGCCCTGCAGGGCAAGGGGCTGAAGCTCTGTCCCAGAAACCACGCTGGGTTTAAAAGTTTCTCTAGGTACTGAGCAAGCTCTGCCCAGTTTGGGGGCATTTTAAGATCCCATTCCAAGGATTTGACTGTACCATTTATTTTACAATCGTTACCTCCTGGAGAAGATAAAGAATCCCATTTTTCCATTGTCCCCAGGTGGGGACACCTGCCCACAGTGTTTGGAGGCCTGTTCTCATTGAACATCAATTCCAAACAGCCGGGGAGATGGGCAAGTTCCAGCACCAACCAGGGCTGTGTCCCTGTCCAGGCTGGAATGTGCTCTGCAAGGATCAGCAGCTCAGCCTGCTACTGACCCATCCCCAGGAGGGATATTTTCCTCTTGCTGGCTCCTCTTTCTCCTCCCAGACCCTTCGTCTGTGGGCCTGACCCCCCCCAGGGCCGTTGCCTTTTCCCTCATGGTTGTGAATTCCCAGAGGAGGCCGGAGCAGAGTGGCCACTCCCCGTGCCCGGGCAAGGTGCCCGGTGGCGGCTGTCCCGCTGCCCTGTCACTGATCCAGCAGCTATTTTGGGTGCTCCTCCACATCCCTGCTCCAGGCTGTGGGTCCCTGCCGTGCCTTTTGCTCATTCTGTGGGAGAACATCTCGTTTCCTGAATTTTTTGCTCGAGTAGAGTCCAAGGAAATCAAGAGTTGAAGCTAATATTTAAAATAGCAGAAGAAGGTTCCAGAAGGGATTTGGGTTTGTTTTCTGGCGGGCACTGGGAATGTTGGGCTGTGCCTTGAGGGAAGGCAGAGGGGACTCCAGGGTGGTGGGTTCATGCTGGACCTCACTGGCAGATTTGGGCACTGTGGTCTGGGTTTGGCACCAGAGCTCCCCATTCCCGTTCTGCCCAGTAAGAGCTAAAAATAGAAGTAAAGTTTTCTTGGCATTGTCTTTTTGAGAGAAAACCCAGTGATTTGAGGACTACTGAGCGTTTTCTGCTCCAACCCAAGGATGGGAGGGGGGGGAAAGCAAAGCCTTGGCAGCCGCCCTTTGGTGTGGGTTGGGAGCACTGGGTATTCTGGGAATGGGATTGAACGTTCTGGGCACCAGCTCAGCTCTCCCAGCCAGTGATGTCGGGCCCAGTTCGAGGGGGAAGATAAAAATAAAAAGGGGACTTGGACTGGAATTCTGCACCACTTTAACTTTCGCCACACACAATCTTGTACAGGAATATTTTCTCTCCCATTGCCTTTAATGGCTGCCATGTGTGGCTGCTGCTTCACACCACTTCTGGTTTTAAATAGAAAAAAAAAGAACCTGCTTGTTGGCTTTCCCTCATCCCTGTTCCTGTCTTATGTGGTTTTCAGTTTCCAAAGAGAAAGGCTGAAAAAGAAAGTGGGAGGGTGGGGGAAACAGCCCCAAAATACCAGTGGTGGGTTCCTGCTGCACTGCCCTGTGTCACTTTCAGTGTCTAATTGTGAACTGACATCTTGCCCTGTTCTGGACCTTTCTTTGACTAACTTCCACTCTTTTTTTCCCTTTTATGCCAGCATTTCATGCCTATGGAAAAGCAGGAAAGATGTTGGTGGAAACAAGGTAAATCTGCTGCTGATTCAAAGTGTGAACAGTTTGGGTGTCTTCGGTGAAAACTCTTCTGAGCCTTGCTGTGCTCTGCTTCCTTCCTTCCTTCCCCTGCTGCCTCCTGGAATTCCTTGGGAGGCTGAGTGAGGTGCCCTGAGCACAGCTCACAGGTGGCACCTCCATCCTGCTGCCCAGGCTCTGGGAGCACAGAAGGTGCTCAGGGATGAGCTCCTCTCCAGCTCTGCTGTGAAATCACAGCCCTGTCACTCGTGGCAGCTTTCCAGAGGTGACATCCCTGCTGCTGAGTTAGTGGGAGGGAGTGTTTGGATCCCGGGATCTGCTCTGCTCCTGCTCTCTCTGCTCCCTTCCCTGCGAGATGCCTTGAGGGGGAATCCTGCCTCCATCTCTGCTTCCTCCCATGACCCAGTGCAGATGTCAGGTGATGGCACAATCCTCAGAGCCCTGCTTTTTCCAGCAGGGGTTCTTTTCCAGGCATGCTGAGCCCGGGGCTGGCAGTGGTGCCGGGTCCTTCACTCTTCCCAGCTACAAACTTCTGCACAGCACTAAAAATACACAGAATATTCCTCAGATGTTTCTTGTCCATGCAAGCAGAGGCTGTAATTGCCACAGGGATGTTCTATAATTAGAATTGGGAAGGAAAGTGGTCCAGGAGTGGGAGGAGAAGCAGTTCATGGACAATCTTTTCATTAAAGTGTGGTCCATTGTGTGGGGAGACGTTGGAGAGCCCACTGAATATTGAGACTTTCATGGCAGGGTCCTGCTGTGGGTGTGGGGCTCTGAGAGCCTCGTGCTGATTCTTTTGAATTTTTCCAGGAGTTCAAGGAGATCTTTTCATCTCCATGATTAATTTTCCTTGTTTTTTTTTTTTCCCATGGCTCCCAACAGGAGTTACACCCTTGCATGGGTTGTGGGCAGTGCTGCCTGTCCGAGTGTTTGGTGTGGAGGGAGGTTCCCTGGTGGCTGTTTCATGGGGATGGAGTGCAGAAGGGTTGTCCTGCTCTTCCCAGCTCTGAGGATGGAAGCCTGGCCCTCCTAACCCATCCCTGTTTGTGTTTGCAGCATGATTGGGCTGATGCTGGGCACTTGCATCGCTTTCTACGTCGTCATCGGCGATTTGGGCTCCAACTTCTTTGCCCAGATGCTCGGATTCCAGGTGAATAAATCATTCCTGCAGTGCTCCCAGACCTTGCACTGAGCCCTGTGATCCCTGGGTGCAGCAGAGCTCCTGCCTTGGAGTGTGCTCCAAGGGTCCCAAGGGGCTTTGTGGGGTCCCCTCCCGGGGGGATCCTCATGCACAGAGCCTGAAGCTCTGGGAAGTCTGGGAAGCTCAGACATATGGCAAACAATCAGCTGTGTAAAACTCCAATAAGGCATTTCCATCAAAGGAATTCTTTTTAACTTGGTCCCTTATTAATTCTGGAGCAGATTCCTGGGGGAGATAATGCTTCCTGCCTTAATTCCTGCCCCAGTGGGTAGTGACAGGCAGTTCCTCTGCCTGAGCTCTCCTCCCTGTAGCTCAGGAGGGATTTTTGTCCTGTCCTTGGCTGTTTTTGTGGCCAAAGTCTCTGTGTTCCTGCCTCCTCAGCCGTGTGATGAGCCTGCTGCTGGCTCAGGATGCTCAGAGGCAAGAGGTGTTCCTCAGAGCCGGCACGAGGGCCGTGCAGGGAAGCAAAAGGATTTTTGGTAGAGTGTTATCTGTGCTGCCTGATGCTCCTAAGCTCAGATTAAGGGACTGTGAAGTTAAAAAAGATGCGTCGAGGCTGCAGCCAAATTAGGTATTAAATATTTCCAAGCATTCCAGAGTGTTCTGCTATAATAAATACCAGTGTGAGGCTTTGATTAATTTTCTGGATTGGAGTTTTCAACACTTTCAATTTCTCGTCTCCCCAAGTAAATTTAAGTTTTATTTAATTGCATGAAAATACCTAAATAGCTTGTGCTGGATTAACATTTAACCCCCCCAGCCACCCCTCAAATTCTTCCATCTCGGACCTGTCACACACTGCAGAGCAACAGTGGCACCCAGTGACTGGCTCGGCTCAGCACAGACAGAGCACCGAGCTTGCAGCATCTTCAAACACCTCCGGACACAGAACTTCACTGTTTTAAAGTTGCTTTTCACTCTGGGAAGATGACCCGTGGTGGGGTTTGCTGGTTGGGAGGGTGTGTTGAGTGTCCTCCGTGCTGCAGGTGTTGATGCAGGTGTGTTGTGCAGGTGTCGGGCGCCTTCCGCATCGTGCTGCTCATCGCTGTGTCCCTGTGCATTGTCCTTCCCCTGAGCCTCCAGAGGAACATGATGGCCTCCATCCAGTCCTTCAGTGCCATGGCTCTCATCTTCTACAGCGTGTTCATGTTCGTGGTGGGTACGGACACCAGGGATCCCATTTTCCTGCTTTCTGTTCATTTGTGGTGACCGGTTTTACCCCCCCAGATGCTCCCGTGATTCTCTCATGGAGTCCCAGCTCTGTCTCACCCAAATTTCAGGGCTGGAAGGAAAGGGAGGTGTGGGAATTCTTTCCGTGTAACTTTTCTAGTAGGCTGTGCAGGGTCACACCTCAGAGCTGGTGTGGAGCCTCCCAGGAGCTGCGCCTTTAAGAAACCACAACACTCACAAGAGCTGGCTGCACTGAAACGTCTCTGGGGATTAGAAACCCCATCCAAGGATATTATAAACAGACATTCAGACATATTTACCTTCTGCTTCCTGTGCAACCCAACTCCTGCCAGTTCTTGTGTCCGTGGCAGGGGAGCTCCCCGGCCTCAGCTCCACCCCCTTTCCATAAAGTTTTTCCTGTGTTGTTAAATGGCCCTGGAGCAGCAGGTGGGATCCTGGTTTAGGACCCTTTGTCTCTCTCTGCTGAACAGGATTCTGTAAGGCCAACGGTGCTTCCTGTTTGGATTTAAAAACACATTTTAAAAAACACATTTAAAAAGTGCGAAAAAGGTTGCTTTGAGCAATAATTTTCACAGTTAATGTGTCAGTTGAAATTGTCCCACGCTGGTGTGTGCTGTGATGTCTGATGGCATCAAACAAGGTAGGGGGGAATGTCAGAGATCCCTTGAAATACTCCCTGGGGTCCTGTGTGTTTGGGAATGGAGCTGGGGGATTGGGATGGGGTTGTGGTGGCAGCTCAGGCTGCTCCCAGCAGAGCTGTCACACGCTGCCTCTTATCCCAGCCTGGCACTGCTGCTGCTGTGGAGCTGTTTGGGGCTGGCTCCTCACCCCTGCTCTGTGTCCTGGCTGCAGGTTGTGGTGTCCTCCTTCAATCACGGGCTCTTCAGCGGGCAGTGGCTGCAGCGAGTGAGTTACATGCGCTGGGAGGGCATTTTCCGATGCACCCCCATCTTTGGAATGTCTTTTGCCTGCCAGTCGTAAGTACCTGCCATTCCCAGCCCTGAGTTTGTGTGAGGGCACGGGGTCAGGAGGATCTGCAAGGGATAGATACCATCTGCTTTGGTGGTTTGTTTTCATCAGAGTATTTTACAGCTCACTGAAGTTCAGCCTCTCATTCAGTCGTGACCCTTTTGTTACTCAGACCCTTTTGTTATTCCATTTCACCTGGGAATTCTTGTAATGGAGCAATGTGAGATCACTGGAGCCAAATAGCTCCTCAGGAGCTTCTGGTGCAGCTGCAGGAGGGATGAAATTCCCCTGGTTCTTGAAGGGAGTGCTGGAGCACCAGGAAAGGCTTTGTCACCCCACTGTGTGACCTCCACATGGCCTCCCCTGATAAGTGAATTCTAGGGGCTGCTCTGCTCCCCCACATTTCTTGGAGAACACTCCGAAGATCACACAGTTGGCTTTGGAGGGTTGTTCCTGCATTTCCAGTTCCCTGAGTTTAGTGGCACATGGGAGGAGGTGAGAGCAGACCAGGCTGTTTCCACCTCTCCAGTTCCCTGTTTTCGTGAGGGTTTCTGCTGCCAAGTGGAAGGAGGTGAGGGCAGGCCAGGCTGTTCCAGGTTTCCACCTTTCCAGTTCCGTGTTTTTGTGAGGGTTTCTGCTGCCAAGTGGAAGGAGGTGAGGGCAGGCCAGGCTGTTCCAGGTTTCCACCTTTCCAGTTCCGTGTTTTTGTGAGGGTTTCTGCTGCCAAGTGGAAGGAGGTGAGGGCAGGCCAGGCTGTTCCAGGTTTCCAGCAGCATTCCCTGCTGCACCAGGACAGCACATGAGTGCTACGTGCCTGGCCAGGGCTGTGACAGCTCTAATCAGTGTAAATCCAGCCCTGGACAGGGAAGGACCATCCTCCTCTGGAAGCCTGGCAGAGCTGGGCTTCCCCCCGTGTAGCTCCAGCAAACAGGTCTCGTGCCAGCAGTAAATGAATGTGACAGATAAAATTTGCTCAGACTGCTGTGTTTACACCCACTCCAAGATCCAAATCATCATTTCCCACTTACTGGCTCTCTTGGCAGCTCAGATCCTACCCCGGCACACTCCAGGCTTGCTGTTTAATGTCTCCATTACAACTGGCAAAGAGAATTGTGTTCTCTTGCAGCTTTACCTTGTTAACAAATCCCTTTTATTTTTTTTTTTCCTTATGGAAGCCACACAGTACCCAGCACAGTTTTCCTGGGAGTTGGAAATGCAGGGAAATGGTTTGGTCTGGACCTGTGTGTGTGCCTAAACATGGAAGCACTTTTGTGGCAAACCCAATCTAAAGCTAAACATCAGCAAAATACACTGTTCCCAGCCCAGGCAGTATTTATATATATATTTTATTTCTTTCCATCTGTGTGTTCTCTCTCTCTCTTTACCTGCCCTCTATATATTCTGTTCCTCTCTGTATATGTAGTTTATCTGTATAGTTTCACCGGGGTAGATTCAATTTTGCTAACTTCTGAATTACCTTTTTCACCATCCCACACACTGCAGAGCCTCCCTGTTTCCCTCTTTTTTCCTTCCCAAACCTGAATGTTTGGCTGGACCCTTCTCTTGGAGGCTGAAGGCCAGAGTGTAGCTGGAGGTGACTCTGGAGAGGACAGGGAAGAATCCCAAATGGAGAGACTTTGGGAAGCCAGTCTCCTCATTCCCAGGGAGGAATCCTAAATGGAAGGACTTTATGAAACCAGTTTCCTTTCTCTCAGGGAGGAATCCTAAATGCAGAGATTCCCAGTGAAGCCAGTCCTTTCTCTCAGGGAGGAATCCTAAATGGAGAGACTTTGGGAACCCAGTTTCCATTCTCCCAAGGGGAAATCCCAAATGGAGACTCCCAGGGAAGCCTGGTACTTCCAGCCCCAGCACGTGTCCCGACATGCTCAGCTTCCTTTGACGTCCAGGGATGAAGGGTTAAGGATCTCTGTGCTTGGCCTCAGCCTGACACACTTCCTGGGAATGGCTTGGTGCCCACTGGAGCTGGGGATACCCCTTCCCATCTCGCTGCCTTCTCCCGAGAGTTCCAGGATGTAACCGCTAGAATTAACGTAACAAGAGGTTAATGAGTTGCTAAAATATGCACCTGCTGTCAAAAAGAACATTCCCCACGCTTTCCAAGGCTGTAAATACCCCAAATCCCAGGGAATTGGCTCTCCCGGCTTTCTCTGAAGCGAGCTGAAGTAGGACAGGCGCTGTGCTGGGGTTTGTTTGTTTAACTTTTCCTTCAGACAGTGGGATGCTCCAACCTTCTTCCCGCTTTTCCTCTGTAAACACTGTGTTGCTTTAATTATCAGCACGGAGAGCTCCAAGAACAATAATCTCTGGCGCTGGGGCTGGCCCAGAGCCACCCACGGCCCCGGGAACAAGCGGTCATTCATTTTGCAACCCTTTCTGAACCCAAATGTTTACATCACACGTTTCGCTCCACGTGGTGGGGTGGGGAGAGCAGGAATATTTTTGCAACACTTAAAAGTTATGAGTGTTCTGAAATCTCTTGGCATTAGCAGTATAAATTGTGGAATAGCAGCAGGTGTTTATGCTCCAGAGGGGGAAGGCGTCAGGGATTCGTTGCTGCTGGGCTGAGGCAGAGAACGGGTTGGGATTGGGGGTTTTCTCCCATTTTCTGCAGGTTTCCTTAAATCCTTTACCCTTTTTACAGGCAGGTCTTGCCTACTTACGACAGTTTGGATGAGCCTTCTGTCAAAATCATGAGCTCCATATTTGCTTCTTCCCTAAACGTGGTCACCACCTTTTACATCATGGTAAGAACTTCCCCTTCTCTTCCCTTGCCAGAAATCTGGAGGGGCCACAGGGATGAGGATTTATCTACAGCTGGGAGTGGTTTCTGCTTATCTGTATTTATTCTAACAGATAAGTTGTCATGCTGAAAGCAGAGTGAGGTGGGAGGTGATGAACCCAAGAGCACGGGGGGCACTGGGAGAATCCAGGTTTTCAGAGTAGCACGTTTCCTTGGATGGAGGCAGAGTGGAGGCCCAGCTCTTCCAGGGCCCAGCCTGGAGCAGGGGCTGCCCAGAGTTTGGGAGAGCTTTTTCCAGCCTGTTGTGAAGGAAGTTATGCCTCATAAGGCAGCAGTTAATAAAACTGGGTTAATAATTCCTGAGGAGAGCCGTGGCCCATGAGCCAGGCTGCTGCAGGGAGCTGTGACATCCCCTCTGTTAGAGAGGGACAATCCATGGGCCTGGCAGTAAGCAAAGGAAAACCCTTGGATTTGATGAGAAACTTGCTTTCAGGCAGTTCCCACTCTTGATTAACGACCTGTCCCAGGTTTTGGGGTGCTGGGGCTGCTGGCAGGTTGCCCGTGGAAGTGACCTCACCCTCCCCCTTGGCTGCTCCAACTGGAGGTCACTGTCCTGCCCCCTCTGTGAGGAGCAGGTGTGAAGTGTTGGGAGTCCAACCCCACTCCCCTTTCCAGGTGGGCTTCTTTGGCTACGTGAGTTACACCGAGGCCATTGCTGGGAACGTCCTGATGAACTTCCCTTCCAATGTGGTGACGGAGATGATCCGAGTGGGATTCATGATGTCGGTGGCAGTGGGGTTTCCCATGATGATCCTGCCGTGCAGACAGGCACTGAACACCCTGCTCTTTGAGCAGCAGGTAAGATTCCAGGGCTGCCTCGGTGTGAAACTTGATTTTTTGAAGGGTTTTTGCATCTCTTTGGTCTCTGATTGGGCCCTAAACCTGCCTTGGCTCTGTGAGACTCTGGTGATAATGGCATGTGGCAGGCAATCACTGTCCAGAGGGACAAAGCTTCAACTCCCATAAAATCCTCAGTGCAGCAGGGCCCTGTGGCCATCTCTAAATCCTGCTCTGCTCAATGGTTAATCCCTGGCATTTGGATGTTGGTGTCCTCTCTGCAGAGGAATTCCATGGGCTGAAGGGCTGCAGTTCCCAGTGTAAAGCCCATGTCCCGTGGCTGCTGCTCCCTGCTCTGCTGGGGATTCCAGCTCTGGCACAGACACGTTACACAGCTCAGAGCCAAGGTGGTTCTTCCTCTCAGAAAGAGGGAGAAATGGGCTTTGGAAGCAGCGGAGCCTCCTCATTTCCTGCTGCTCCAGCTGCTCTCCTTTTGCTGGCCAACTCATTGAGCTCCTGTTCCCGGCCTCAGAGCCCAGCCCAGCTCCATTTCTTCTTGCTTCCGTGTATGCCTGCTCATTCCTGCTCCATTATTCTCACCCAGCACCTTTGTCAGCAGCCCTGGAGCAGCCCTTTCCCCTCTGGGTTCTGATGTCCCCTTCCTCCAGCTCCTCCCGGGCAGTGGGATATGGGATCCAGCCCCCTCCCACACGTTCCACCTTTCCCAGGGCCAGCTCCTCAGCCAGCCTTTGTGACTGAAGCTGGTCTGTGTGCTGCAGACTGTGAGTCCCTTGTGGCAGTGGCGTGTTCTCCTCTGTGCATTGTGCGCACGGAGCGCGCCGATGGGATTCAGCAAATAACAGTGAGAGATTGTGGGAATGTTCTGAGGCCTTTGTGTATCTGCATAAATAGAAACCTCTTAGGCAGGAAATAAAACTTGAGCAATTTATAGCTTTAAATCCTGCCACTTCTGCCTGTGAGAAGCCCCTGGCTCTTTTCTCACGTTGGGAAGGCCTGAGGATGGGGGCAGACGGTCGGTGAGAGCCAGCGGGTGCAGAGGAGGAAGCTCTGGAAACACTCGGGAGCACTTTGGATCTCGCTCAGCCCATGCCTGCTTGGGCTCTGAAGGGCTCGCTTTGCCTTCCTCTCCCATCTGTGCAGCAGCAGAGCAGGGACCTGCTGGGTCTGCAGGGCACACTGGGGCCTCTGCCTTCCACACCTCCCACCCAGGATGGGATGGGATGGGAAGCAGAGGGCCTCTGGAATTCCTCCAGCAGCTGCCCAGCAGCACCCATCCTCCCCTGGGCTGTCTCCCGGTTGGAGGAGCTGCTCCTGTGGTGTTGCACAGTGGGAATGGCTCTGCTGCAGAGCTGTTGGGGAACACCTCTCACTAGCACAGCCAGAGCTCTTCCCTTGTGACTTCTCCCTCCTGCTGCACCCCTGAGCTCCTTCCTGCTGCCCTTGGCCTTGTGCTGCTCTCCGAGTCCCTGCACAGGGACTGGGGCACAGCTGGGATGGGCTGGAACTGCGGGGAGCATTGCTGAGGGAGTTGCTGGGGGGCTGAGGGGATTGCTGAGGGTCTGGGGACTGCGCTAGCAGAGCTAAACTCTCCCCTCCACCCTTGCCCTCCCAGCAGAAGGACGGCACCTTCGCTGCCGGGGGCTACATGCCCCCGCTCCGGTTCAAAGCCCTGACGTTGGCTGTTGTGTTTGGAACCATGGTCGGAGGCATCATGATCCCAAATGGTGAGTGAGGAGCTGGGAACAAGGGCTGGCTGCTTTCTCTGGTCTCTGTTATTTGTTTTCCTGGCTGGGGTAACCAGACTCACACCCCATCCTGCCCGGGGGCTCTGGCAGCCATCCCGTGCTGCTGCTCTGGCACTCCTGGAAAAAAAACCTTTGCTGACTTTTCCTCTTCTTCCCCAGTGGAAACAGTCCTGGGCCTGACAGGTGCGACCATGGGAAGCCTCATTTGTTTCATCTGCCCAGCTCTTATTTACAAGAAGATCCACAAGAATGCGCTTTGTTCACAGGTCAGTGCTGATGCTGTTTGACATCCCCCTAAGCCCTCTGCAGAGCCTGGGAACGTGCTTCATTTGGCTGCAGCACAGAAACTGCTCAGCACATCCTCCAGCCTCCCCCTCCAGTCTGCCCAGTACAGGTGGGGGCTGTTCTGGGTGGGTGTCCACCACTTAGGGATGCACAGGCAGTGGCAGAGGTGCTGGCCCAAGCTGGAACACCAGCTCTTTTTGTCCCTCCAGCAGCAAGTGAAACAGTCATTCTGTGCATAAAATGCTGGTTCCAGTCCTCCTCCTGGTGGGATTCAGGTTTTGGATCCTCAGAACAGGAAATCCAGGCAGCCTGTAAAACCTTAAAGCCTCACATCCCGACCTGCCCGGGCTGGGTAAAACAAACAGGGCTCCACGATGTGGTTTGTGCTGCCGACCCTCAGCTTTCTGCTTTCAACCAAAATAATAGTAAAAAGGAACACACACATAGAGGTGTTGCTTCAGGAATTGATTTTCTGAGGGATTGGGGTCGTTCAGAGGCTGTTAGAAGTTTAACTTTTCCTTTTGCTCCAGTTTGAATTGGCCTCCTCAGGGACTGAAACAAAGTGGCTCTTTGCTGGGCTTGATCTCTCTGCTCCTGCAAATACCGTGGGCTGAAATTAACAGGTTCTGGGTTTTTTTCCTAACAATAATTTAATCCACTGCCTTTTTCACAGGCCTCTGTCCCAACATTCCCATTCAGGACAGTCAGTGGGCTGGGAATAAGGTTTTGGGCACAGTGTGGAGTCAGCAGGGGAAACTAGAACGTTTTTGTGGGGCCCACAGAACTGATGGCTTGTTCTGTGCTTAATGACTTGTGGCTTTGCAAACCTACGTGAATTTTTTAAGCAGGGTGTGTTTTTTTTCTTCCCTGTGCTTTCCCTGACACAAGGAAATAGTCCAACTTTCCAGCTTTCACTCTGCATTCTGACACTTAGCTCCGAACTTCTTTGAGTGAAACCCCGAGCAGGAGTCTGAATGCCAGCCTGGGTTTTTCAGGGAAACAAAGAGCACTTTCAAGAATTGCTTTCTATTCCGGCTGAGCCAGAGTGTTTCCCTGCAGTGCCTCGAGGCTGCACTCAGGACAGGCTGAGCTCTCAGCCTGGCTGCTCGGGGTGGGACACTGGGGCCCTCACAATGCCTGACCCCAAACCCGGTCACGAGGCTGAGGGAGATGTTTGTCCTGCAGAAATCCCCACAAAGGAGGAAGGGCTTATCTAAAGCATCAGGCCCCGGGTTACCTCTTGAGGGGCTGGCAGCAAGCTGTCCAGCCTTTCCCTGAGTGATCCATTGCCTGTCAGGTTTGCATTCCTGCTTGCAGCGAGGACACACCTGCCTGCCCTGCTCAGCACCTCCCCACCTCCATCTCGGAGCCCATCCTCTCCTCCTCCCTCCAGGTCTTTGCAAAGGCTCATTTATTCTTTCCCTGGAGCTCTGTCTTTGGTCTCCTCCTTCATTCCTGCTCTCCTTTGATCAGGTGCTCCACTCCATCAAAGTCAGCTCCTGAGGAAGGTGGCGGGCGGGGGGAGAGGAGCCAGCTCTGGGCTCAGCTGTCCTTCCCTTCCTGTCCCTGTCCATGAACGTTCTCCCTCCTTCCCTGCGTCAGCTTTAGCCTCCTTCAGAGCAGCAAACCTCAGTGCCAGCTTTTACACTTCTCTGGGTTATCTTGGCTCTTGTGCTGCTGAGAACTGGCTGCTTTTATCAGGCCACTTCTAGCACCCAGCAGCGTCCAGTGTCAGGCAGCTGGTGACATAGAAGGCCAGGTTTTACAGGAGATGGTGCAAACTGAGGCTATGAAACGGGGGTTTTGCACTAAAAGTAGTGAAGAGGATTTCAGGTGGTGGAGGAGGGAAATGGGCAGATGTTTGCTGGCCAGCAAAGAGCTTCTGCTGAGGAACTGGGAAGGATTTGAACTGGAAGGGTTAGGTTGGAAAGGCAGGTCCCAGAGCAGTTAAAAAGCCCGGAGTCAGGCACACAGTGCTGTGAGTGCAGCAGGGAGAGTGTTCCCTTTCTTGTGGTTAAGCATCTGTTCCTGTCAAGGTCCGCGTCCCGCTGCTCCCCAGGAGCCCCGGGTTTGGCAGAGCTGCTGCAGGGCGTGTGGGGGTCTGTGAACAGAGCGTGCAGCTGCCAACAGGAAGGTGTTGCCTTCCCAGTGTTGACACAAGCTTGTCCGAGAGGCCCCTCCTAGGGAGGCCGGAGTTGCTGTTGTCCCAGTTGGGGAAGAGGAGCTGCCGGAGGTCAGGAAGTGACCCCTGGGCTCGCTCCTGTGCGGGTGGAAAAGAGATTCCCTGTGCCCTTCCCTGGCAGCACAGGGGCCAGCACACCTTCCCCCCAGCACATCCAGGGGTACAGCCCCCCAACCAAACACAGCATCTCTGAGGAGGGGCCCAGCAGTGACCCGGGCTGTGCATTCCTTCTCCATGACTCCGTCCCTCGGAACGCGCGGTGTCCAGGAGGACGGGGATGGCGTCACGCCACACCAATGCAGCGTGTTTGCTTCCCGTGGCTGCAGGAGGAGGGCTGAGCTAATGGCTCTGCTCTGCAGGGTTGGAGTCATCATCTTCTGGGAGGAAGGAGGGCAGAGAGAGCACGACCGACTGAGGAAACAGCCCCGTAAACTTCCTCTCCTGAATTCCTGTCCGTGCTCGGAGCGTGGCTCCCAGGAGACCATGGCTCCTGGCCATGCTGACCTGCCCCAGGGCTTTCCAAGCCTCTCACCGTGTCCATGCTGAGAGGGGCTTCTGCAGAAAGGTCTCTGCTCTCAGTGAGATCACTGGGTCTGGAGGAGATGATTCCCATGGGAATGACCTTGGGTCAGAAGTGCCTTGCAGTGCTGAGCCTCCCCTTGTTCCAGGATTTCTGGATGCTGTGGAGATTGGTGGCTCCTGTGCCTGGATTGGCACCCGAGTCCTTGCAGCCCTCACTCCCGTTCCTTCGATCACCTTGGTGGTCCCCTGAGCACAAACTGCCTGCTTTTCCATCTCCACGGAATTAAGCCAAATCATGGCCTTCTTATTCTGGCCTTGAGTTGGGGCAGGGGTAGGTGAGGAGGGGGGAGCTGGGCGAGGGCAGCTCAGGGACAGCCCAGCCTGTCTCCAACTGCCACGTGTGCCCGTACCCGCTGCTCCGGGAGCTCGCAGCTGAACTCCAAATGTGCAACAATCAAAGGGGTTTCAATCCGAAGCATTTGAGCCCCTGGTTCCCCACTAAGATAAGAAACAACAAAAATCCTTTTAAAGCATTTAATGTTTTCAGCCGTTTCCTACAGTTCCCTCCTCTCCCACGTTGCTCCTGGTTCCTGTGGCACCAGAATAGATCCTCTTTGTGGAAACGCTCTTCCTCTGCGCTGTTGTTTCTGGAAGGTGCCAGAACAGCCTCCCAGGCACAAAATGCATTTGTGCCGGGGCTGTGGATTGTGGGAGGGGAGGAAGTGGAGCAACTCGAGCCCAGGGCAGCAGTGCAGGACCTGCTGACTCGGCGTTTGCCCCGGGGGGATGCATGGCAGGATATCTGCTCTTTGTGCACCCCGGCAAGGCGGGCAGCACATTCTGCTCCTGTTTCCTCTGCAGCAGCTCTAAGCTCTGCCCTCTGCTCCCTGGCCACGCTGCCCCTGATCCAGAGCTGCTCCATGTCCCGCCAGCCTTTTCCTTCCGAAGGCGTCGGGCTGTCTGGGGGTGTGCTGGGAACGGGCCCTCGGGCTCTCCTGGGCCCGGCTCTGACCACACTGCTCCGTCTTTCTGGGTGACCTCCCTCAGCACGAGGCTGGTGTGGAAAGCATCAACCCCTCCTCCCCCTCTGGAAGTGCCAATGTTTTAATTCCTCCTTCCAATTTCACCTCTCCCCTTGATTTGCAGTTTTCTGGCAGCTTCCAGTGATAGAAGTGCTCCCTGTGGCCGTTCCTGGTTTTCCCCACACTGAGAAGCATCTTTTTTGTTGTGCTTTTTGTGAACTGGGATGTAAATCTGCACAGTGAGGATTGGGAGTCGTGGAATCATGGGATGGTTTGGGCTGGGAGGGACCTTCAAGCCCATCCAGTTCCACCTCGTGCCATGGGCAGGGACACCTTCCACTGTCCAAGTGCCATCCAACACTTCCTATGACTCACGTGGAATCAGATCCTTTTAGATCAATTTGTCATCACATAACAAGCTGTAAAAATTCTTTTGCTGCTCATCACTTTCTCCTTTTTGAGGTTGAGGAATTCCAAGAGCCCTTCCCTCCACAGGATCCAGATTCCATCCTTCTATTTTTATCATGTTTGATCCTAGCTTTCTGGGAAACAGGGAGTCATTTCTCAGCAGCTTCTTGAGCCCTGGGACCAGGCCCTGTGTGTGGACATGTTACCCTTGCTTTCAAAACCAAGGATTTTTAAGCAGCTCCCTGGAATGGTTGGGAGCTGTAACCAGGCCAAGCTCCTCTGTGCTCAGCCAGACCCAATTTCATGGAGTTCTCATGCTGGGAATACCAGGGAATGAGTCTTTGCAGCAGGACTTGTGTCTGCCACACGCATTTTCCTATCTCTGTGTCCTTTCCACTCACTCTGCTCATTTTGAGCCCTTCCAAAGCCTTTCCAACAGCTTCCAGCCTCTGAAATTCCCATTCCCATGGCTCTGCGTCCAAATACAAACTTCAGCCAGGAGCAACTGGTTTTCCTGTTTCTCTCTGACATTTCTCTTCTCTCCCTAACACTGTGCTGAGCTTGAAATTATGTGGGAATGCCATGGGGAGCAGTCCCCGTGGATTTCCTGTGCTCACTGTGCCTCTGGCACTCTGTGCAGATTATCCTGTGGATTGGGCTGGGAATGCTGGTGATCAGCACCTACACCACCCTGTCTGCCACCGAGGACACCCCTGTGAGGACAGAAGCAGTGGGCTTGGAGCACCTGGACAGAGAGGAGAACAGAATTGACCAGGATTCAGTTAAACTTCCAGGTATGTGCTTGCTGGAGTTGGGTTTCCCAGCCTTGTTCCCAGCTTCACCTCTTAAAAAGAAGGGGATTTTTTGTTTTTTTTTTTTTAGTGTGGCTGAAGCAGGGTAATTTCCAGGCAGCTCTGTGCATCTTCCCAGCTTCCTGGGGCCTTTTCCCAAGAAAAGCTTCACTTTTGTCTGCTGGAAAAGCTGCTGTGACCTCCCTTGGTACTTTGTGGGAGTTGTTCTTTTGAGGAGGGAAAGGTGTGGTGCAGGCCTGGGATCCCCTGGAGGGACAGAGCAGGGATCCCTATTTGGGATGAGCACAGTGCCCACCTGGCCCAGCAGGACTGTTCTCCCCTCTGCCATCCCAAGCCATCCATCACCCTCAAAGGTAGAGAAATTTATGGGAGCCGCCTCTTTTTTTTTTTTTTTTGGTGCCGAGGGTATAAATTTGGACTCGGCTTTCTCTGTGACAAAGCCTGTGATTATGCCTCGGCTTTGTTTACTGGTTCTTGTTATTTATTATTTGTTTGCTGGGGCTGCTGATGGAATTACGGCCGCTCCTCCCTTTCCCAGCTGCTCCGGAGCGAGGCCGTGGCGCGCAGGTGCCGCCTGACCCCGCGCTGCCCCTCGGCCTGTTCCTTCACTTCGGTTTTGTTTCCTTCTGCTCCTGCGGGGTTTTTTTTTTTTTTTTCCTCTTTTTTTTTTTTTTTTTTTTTTAATTTTGTTCTTTGGAGGCCTTGAAATATCCTCGCAGAGATTGAGAGCGGAAGGGAGAAAGGGGCTGGCTCTTGTGGAGATTATCCTCCCTCCTGGTTCTTGGCTGGGTTCCTGCCCGGCAGCTTGGAGCGTCTCCCACACCGGTGCTGCTGCCGATAACATTCACTCTGGGCTTGCTCTGTGGTGGAGTTTACTTGTGCTTTACTCGTGGCTTACTCAAGGCTGTGTGTGACTTCCTGGGCATGCAGATGCCGGTGAACTCCGAGCAAAAAATGCTCCCAATCCTTTAATAGAGCCCTCAGCAGGGCCTGGAGGAGGGATGCGATTGAATTCTTCCGTCTTGGTTAATTTTGGAGCAGTAATGGCCAAAGAACAGCTGCTCCTTTCAGGAGGAATCGCTAATGACACGTGTTCTGACTGGGAAAATAAAAAAATCCCATAAAACACGGTGTGTCCGCCAGAGTTTGCTGAATCTTCTCCCCCTTCTCGGCGTGAGCCCGGGCGCTGGAGCGGGATGCCAGGCTCTGATCATCCGAGCGATCCCAGAGCCCGCCGGCAGCAGCTCTGAGTGCTGCTGGATTAAATAATCCCACCCGGGAAGCAGGAAGGCGGGTTTAGTGCTCCCGGGTCATAAACTTCCCAGGGAGGAGCCGTGCATTTCCAAGGGAAAGCTCAGCTGTCCCCTGAGGTCCCTTTGCCGGCGGGGGCTCCGTCCCCGGAGAGGAGGAAGAGGAGGAGGGAGATGGAGCCGAGCAGAGAAGGGGGACAAGGACCTGCAGGGTGGATGTGGGGACTGCCCCGGGAGAGCTGCAATTCCTTGGATCTGTGCCTCCCTGTGCCTCCGCAGGATGTCGGCTTGACTAGCAATGAGAGGCGTTAAATGGTGCCCTTCATCCCCCGCCGCGGCTCCCCCTCGTCCTCACCCGCCTTGTTTTGCAGAGCAGGAGCTGCCGCCTGGAACGCGCTGCAGCAGCTGCATCCTGTCCTTGCAGGGGCTCAGGATGCGGGCTGGGCCACCCCCGGCACCTGGGTGCCCTCCGGATGGGCCGAATTCCGCCCTCGGGGCTGCAGCCGGATCCCACGGCTTCTCCCTGGGCTTCTCCCTGGGCTTCTCCCTGGCCGGGTGCTCAGCCCCTTCCCCAGGGCACAGCGTGCCTTGTGCCCCTTCCCTGGCTGCAGGGTGCTGCTCCAGGCTCCTTTCCTGGCTGGAGGATGCTGCTCCCAGCCCTTCTCCTGCATGGAGGGTTCTTCCAGACCCCTTCTTCCAGGCACAAGGTGCCTCTGGGTCAGAGGGTGCTCAGCCCCTTCCCTGGGCACAGCTTTGCTCCGTGCCCTTTCCCATCCAAGGCAAACCACGGGGCCTTTCCCCAGCGCTGCCTTCCCCGCCTGCCTCCCGCCTGTCAGCGTGTGAGAGGAGTTTTATTGGCCTCTTTGATGTTGTGGAGCCCAGAACTGGAGAGACTTTCATTAAAGCCCTGCCCCGTGGGCCCGGGGATTATGAATATTAGAACATTGGCCTTTTATGTGAACACGTATTGACCAGCGGCCTCGCAATCGCGTTTTTCCTAACGACACCCAAGTGCCCATTACAGCCCCAGCCTGTGGTGCTGGAGGTTTTACTGTCAGCAGCTCTTCGGGAAAGGGATAAAACCCCTTCCAGCCCCGTCCTGCCGCGGCTGCGCCTCTGTTAAAAGGTTGCTAAGCTGCCTCTGAAAGCTCAGGAAGGCAATTATCCATTTAAAAAAAAAAAAAAAAAAGAAGGCAAAAAAAAAGCTAATTAGGCAATTTCTCTCCGTATTTAAAGCACCCTCGAGGGTCTCAGGGGGGATTAAGATTTTGTAATATTTTTCAGCTCCTTACTTGATCGTTGCTGCTTCATCTTCTCCCTGGCATTGTGCAATGTTGGGTAACAAAGCCCTGATTCAGGCTCCTTGTGCAAGAGCCCTTTTCCCGGTGTGCCAGGCACTGTGCTCCGGCCATCCCGGTGTCCTGGGGGATGGGGTGGGCTGCGTTACGTGGACCGGGACAAAATTTGGGGTTGTTTTTGGTGCGTGGCATCCCTGCATCCTCCATCCCTGCATCCATGTGCTTTGCCCCCCGAAAGCAACCTGGCCGAGGCAGGCTGGGTCCCTGCCGGCATTCCCAGCCGGAGCAGCCCCGGAGATGTGTGGAACGTGGCTCCTGCATCCTGCTTAGCTGCAGGAACAGCTTGGCTCCGCCGCGGCTCTCCCTGGTGCTTTGTGCGAGCGAGCTTTTAATAGTGCCTGTGACACAGAAAAGGAACCAGCAGCCTCTGGTAATTTGGGTTGGTTTTTACTGCTGGTGCGTCAGGAGACAACTGTGAACTAATTTCAGGGATGCCATTCCATAACCTTGTGAAATCTGGACCCGTTTCTGGGGGAGGGAGGGCTCCTGGAGGCGCAGCTGGGCTGGGGGCTCCCCGGGGAGGGCCTGGCCCTGCCCTGCTCCGGGCATGTCCGAGGGCAGCGTTTGCCCCCAGCCCTCTGCCCTGCTTGTTCAGCTCCGTTTTCCTTGGCACCAGCTCCTGGATCTCGCTCTGTATCATGCGATGAAGGAATTTCAGCAGATCTGGAGCTGCACTGGCACAAGCAGGTCCTGAGCCCCGTGTCCCTGGTCAGCCCTGGGGTGATGCCCTGGAGGGGTTGGATTGTCCCAGAGCTCCCTGTGCTGTCCCTAAGGCTCCCCCTGGATTGGGGGTGAGCACAGCAGGGTCCATCCTGCTGCCTCTGCCCAGGGCAGGGGCTGTGGAGGCACATTTCAGCACATTTCAGCTCCGAGAGGCTGCAAAAGCGTGTGAGGAGGGATTTAGTGCCTGCCTGGGACCATTGCAACGATCCGAACCAGGAGCGGGGGGAGAAGGGAAGCTTTTAGGTTGCTAATCATGAAATTTTATGGCAGCCTGGAGAGGCTGTTGCCAAACCACAACACACCCAGGCACGCACACACACAAATCAGCTGCAGGACGCCCCGGCTTCCCCTCGTGTGAGCAGGGCTGCCGGGGAGCCGGGGGGTCAGAGCGAACCCTCCCGGTGCTGCCTCACACCCCGGCCTCTCCTTGGGAGCCAAAAAGCTTTTACAGCCTCTCAGGCCTTGCCTGTAAAGTCCAAGGCCGCTCATAAAACATGACGAGGAGCAGCGTTACTGGAAGATGCTCCAAAGGGACCTGGAGGGCAAGAAGACAGGCAGAGCCCCGGCAAAACTCTTCCCTGCGAAGCACCCGGAGCCCCGGATGGATTTCCAGGCAGCCTGAGAGGTTGTTAATTCACGCCCTGATGATGAACTTAATTTTGTCTCCCGCTGAGCAAATGATGGCTTAGAGGCAGCTTGGCCTTATTGCGGCGTGGAGACTTTTGGGTTTGTGTTTTGTTTGTGTTTTGGGCTTTTCCTGCATTGTTTGCAGAGCTGGGGAACGTGCCTCTGCCTGATTTATGATGGAAGCTGCCAGGGACACTCCCGGAGCAGAGTGGGGCCTCCCCCAGCCCCTCGGGCTGCCCTGAGCCCTCGGGGGGTTCACCTGCTGCTCTGGGCAGGGGAACTGCTGGGTTTAACTCCTCCAGTTCCAGCTGGCAAAGGAAAACTTCCCCCCATCTTCCTTCTTATTTCCTCCTCCCTTCCTTTTTATTTCCCCCTCCCTCCTTTTTATTTCCCCTTGAACATCATCTCGCTGCCTCAGCTCATCGTTCCCATCTGCTGTGGGAACAGCCCTGCCTGTGCTGGGGTTCTCTGGATCCTCTGGTCCTCTCTGACCAGAGCCATCTCCCGCCTCCACGAACCAATTAACGAGAAACTTTCCTCCAATAGAGTAAATAATTTCTTGCATGGAGGCCAGGATTGAGCTGGGAACATCCGCAGCCTCCCCGGCCTCGGCCTCCTGCTTCCCAGGGCCCCTGGCCAGGGCTGGGCACTGGTTCCTGCAGCCCAGCTTTTCCTGAAAAGGAGGAGTGTCCTGCCCTGACTTGCTGAACTCTGGGAAGTCCCTCAATGGAGAGGGGGGACCCTTGGGTACTAGACTCGAATTTCTCAGAAAATCCGAGTCCTTTTCCCCTCCCACCATCATTCCCAAAGCGAAGGAACGTGGAATGCCGGCCAGCCCCACGCACGTCCCTCCTCTGGGTGTGGAGCTCCGGGCTCGAGTCCGGGTTTCTGGAGAAGCTCAAGGTCCTGCTGGCACAGATCCCTCTGGGCCAGGAGTTTGTACTTATTTTTTTGTGAATTTTTGTTGTTTCCCCCCCCCCCCCTCCCCAGCTCAGGCAAGGCCCACGCTGAAGTTGTGGCAATCCCTTCTTTCCCATGAGTTCATCTCGTAATAAATCGCACCAGCCCTGCAGAGGGGGAGGAGAAAATGGAAAGATGTTTATAGAATTAATTCCCCAAAGGAAATCACACGGGGGAGGGCGAAGGGGGGAAGAGTTGGGAATTTTTTTTTGTTACAGAAGATAGATTTTTTTTTTTTAAGAGTTTGTTGGATGGAAAAAAATCTGCAGAACAACTTCACTGCTGGGAAACAATTCGATTTCCTCCTCTACTGCTCTCCAAAGGAAGAGTTCACTCCCTGTGTGGGTTTTCTGCCACACTGGGGGTGGAAGGGACCCTTCCCATCCCATGGAATGTGCAAAAGATTCCATGTGGAACACTCTGGTCGTACCAGTGCTGAACACAGTGACTGGTTTGACTGGGATGTGTCTTCCAAAAACATTCCATCTCTTTGAGATCAAGGTAGGGAGAAACTCCCCCGTCTCCCTCAGGAGTTTTTCCCTAATTAATGCCTGTTTAATCCCCCTCCTCAAAACTTCTGCGGGAAAAGGAAACCTCCCCACTCCTCCTCCGAGAGGCATCTGAAGAGCTGTGGGAACACTCGGGCATTGAAAGGGGGGAAAAATCAAAATAAAGGAGGTTTTAAAACGTTTCACAGCAAACAGCAGCGGGGGGACGAGAGCTGGACTGGAGCCCAGCTCAGGTTCTGGTGCTGAGGGGGTTCGGGGCTGGATCCCAGCTCTGTCTCTTCCAGTGCCGAGGGATCCGGGTCTGGATTCGGGTCTGGATTCCAGCTCGGTCTCTCCCGGAGCCGGGGGTCTGGGACAGGGAGCCGGGGGGATGCTACCATCTGGTGGCACTGGCTCGCAGCAGCAGCTCCCTGCTCCATCTCTGCTCCATCCCTGCTCCATCCCTGCTCCATCCCGGCTCCATCCCTGCTCCCTTCTGGCTTCATCCCTGCTCCATCCCTGATCCATCCCTGCTCCATCCCTGCACACTTCCCCGCCAGCAGCTCCATAAAAACCCATGACAGGGAAAACACCCAGGTGACCCTGGAACAAAAGCTCCCCCAGCCCCACTGTGCTAAGGCTGGAGGGAAATCAGTGGCTGGGCTGGGTGCAATTCCCAGATCCCACACCTCATCCCTGTCCCCATCCTGTGTCTGCAGAGCAGAACCCAGTGGTGGAGGAGCCCGAGGATGACCGTGATAAACCCAAAGTGCCCGAGGAGAAGGAGGAGATGGAGCAGCCACAGATCAAGGTGCCCGTGCAGGTGCCCAAGAGAGAGGAGGAGAGAGGAAAGGTGGAAGAGAAAGTGCAGCTGGACCGTCCTGATCAAGGTAAAGGTGATCCTGGGAAAAGGAGCTGGACTGGGAGCTGGGGGTGGGTGTTGTGGGACTCTGAGATAAAGATCCTGAGCTCTGCTCACTACCCTCCCCTCAGTCCACCTCCTGGTGGTATTGGTGGTTGAAGGTGATTTAGTGTTTGATGCTCTGGAGGCTTGTTGGGAACGTGGCCTCCAGATGAGGGAGAGAAGGCAGGGCCGGGCAAGGGCAGCATGGAGCTGGGTGTAGTGGGTGAACTGGGTGTACTGGGTGAACTGGGTGAACTGGGAACCTGCTGCCTCTGACCCTGCCTGTCCCCCCAGGGATTGCCGTGCCCGTGGGGGAAGCTCATCGCCACGAGCCCCCGGTCCCACACGATGAGGTGGTCGTGGACATGGGGCGGGAGCAGGAGGAATCTGAGGAGAACAAAGTGGCTCCTGGAGGAGCCAACGACCGTCTGCTGGAGGAGCCAGCCAGGCTGAAGCCCCAGAAGGAGGCACTGGACCCAAAACAAGGGCAGGAAGTGGTTGCTGAGAACCAGCAGCGGGAAGAGACTGTCCCAAATCTGGAGAAGGCCCCAGAGGCAGCGGTGCAGCAGGGTGGAAGGCCACCCTACAAGGAGCTGGAGCCAGGGGAAGCCAAGCTGGAAGCCAAGGCACAGGTGGCCGTGCTGGATGGTGACACTGCTGAGGCTGCTGAGCGGGACAAGCCACAGCTCCAGCTCCCTGGGAAAGCAGAGGAGGCTGTAAAGCCCATGGAGAAGGAAGCAGAGCCTGGTAAGCTCCTTTCACAGCAGCTCATCTGAGCAAGCTCTTCTGGGCCTGTAATGCCTCTGGGAATGGGGCAATTTGGTCATTCCCATCTCCATCCTGGTGCTTCCTTTTAACTCCACGAGTGGAGCACGTGAGTGTGCACAGCCCCTCCGGCAGCTGCTGCGGGAAGGGAGGAATCTGGTGGCTTTGACAGCTACTGCAAGAACTGTCAAACAGTTGTTCCCTACCCGCCAAAATGTCAGGTGCCATGCTGTTCCTGCACGGCTCCCAAATCACCGGGGACACGGAGCCGGGAGATCTTGACAGGGAACACATTGCCAAGTGCCCGTCTAAAAGCCAGTTAGAGCTGTTCTTGCATGTTAATTGGCCGAGGTACTTAGTGCTGGCTCGCTGCCACCAGGCATGGGATTGTTAAATATTGGGTTTATTACTTCCCTTGCAGCCGTCGGGTTGGCTACAAACAGTGCTGGGATGGCATTGGAGGCGTTTTAGGGAACATCTGCACTGACAGCAGAGCTCTGTGGTCCTTTGCAGGTGAAAAGCAGGAGCTGCCCCTCCCGGAGAGAGCAGAACTGCTGGAGAACCAGAACACTGAGGACAAACAGGAGAAGGCAGGGGGTGAGTGTGTCCCCGGGGTGTGCCGGGCTGGGGCCAGAGCTCCCCGGATCCCTCTCTGTGGGAGGATGGTGTCTTGAGGCCACTGCCCCTGCATAGCATCAGGTGTGCCTGTCCCATCTCTGGCACACCTGGCAGGGCCACTCGGGGACCTGAGTCAAGCTGGCACCTGGGCCCAGCTGCTCCCCTGTGTCAGAGCCCTGGGAAGAGGGAGACAGGAGTGAAACTGCTCTGGCAGCATGGGCAGGGGCACACGGGGACACCTGAACACATCACAGGGAAAGCTCCTTCCCCTCAAGGCCCTGGCTGCTCTGTCCCTGGGGCATCAGAGCCGGAGCTGCAAAGCCCTTCCTCAGGCTGAGCTCTTCCCTCCAACTTCTGCCTGGCAAGGAGGAGTTGGAGTCTGAGCTTGGACTTGTGTGCAGGTCCCTCACTCTCATCCCATCCTCTTCCAGCTTCCTTCTCTTTCTCTTGGCAGGGTTTGTGGAGTTGGATCTTCCTGCCAAGGAGAGCCCTTGCAGCCCATCCAGAGCTGATGAGGGCTTTGATTTCTCAGGGCTTTGGGTCACAGGGGTTTTATTTCCTCTTTTTCCCCTTTTCCAGAAGCAGGACCAGCAAAACTTCTGGACCACAACATGCTGCTGCAGGTGATCAAGGAGCAGCAGGTGCAGCACAAGCAGCTCCTGGACCAGCAGGCTAAGCTGCTGGCAGTGATCGAGGAGCAGCACAAGGAGATCCACCAGCAGCGGCAGGAGGAGGGGGCAGAGGAGAAGCCAAAGCCAGGTAAGGACATGGCCAGGGAGCAGGACCTCTCCACAGGCTGCTCACGGCTCAGAGCAGCTCTAAAATCAATCTGGGAGAGATGTGAGTTCCTCTGGCACATGGCAAAGTGCCCACAGCCATTTCTGTAGGGATAAGCCACAGCTCTGCTCATCCTCCTGTGTGGCCTCATCTGGTGTCTCACAGAATGTGGTGGCAGGAGAAGGGAATGTTCTGAGAAAAGCCTTTTCCGTGTGGTTTTGTCCTGCAGCAGAAGCACAGCCGGAGCCTGCCGTGCCCCTCTCCAGGAGCAGGGAGGACGAGGGCCTGGGAGCCAAGGGGGACATGGCTGGGAAGCCACTGAGCAAGGAGCAGCTGGAGCAGCGCCCGGGCCAGCAGCCCCCCGATTCCAAAGAGCAGCACAGGGACATCGTGGGGAAGCTGGAAGAGGCTGAGCACAGGCGCGACATTCCTGTGGCTCCTCCCAAGGAGCGGAAGGTGCCGCTGCAAGAGAATGACAGAGCTGTTAAGAATCCTGTGGAGAACCGGGATCCCCTCCATGGGGATGCCCAGCGTGTTCCAGCAGCCAGAAACCACCTGGAGAAAAAGCCCTTGGCGGAGGATTTGGGAGGAGAACGTGAAGCCAAAGCTGGAAGAGATGTCCACCAGAAGAAGAATTTCCTGAAAGCCGTGGAAGCAGCTACAGCTCCCATCCAAAGAGAACAGCCGGGGGCTGCCAAAGTTCAGGGAGTAGCAGGAAGGAGTTTGGAAAGAGACTCAGGAACAGACCTTAAAGCCAAAACTCTGAGTCAGGTGGAGCCCAAGGACCTGGCAGTGCTGCCGGACTCTTCCAGTAACAGGAATGTGGCAGTGAGGGAGCAGCACCCCCGGGAGGGGGCGGGTGGGCGGCAGCGCGACCCGGCTGGCCACGGGCACAGGAAGGAGGAGGATCCCCGGGAGGAGCCGCGGGGCCGGCAGGGCCATGGGGGTGGGGGTGGAGGTGGAGGTCCCTCCAATGGCGCCGAGAGGAAACCCAGCCCTCAGGATGCTCCAGCACCGAAGTCCGAGAACGGAGCGGCCGCCCCCAGGGATCCGCAGCAGCAGCCGGACCTCAAACCCAACCGGGACCTGAAGCTGCAGGGGGGCCTGGACCTGCGGCGCAGGAGACGGGACCTGCTGCCTCCCGACCAGGAGGAGGATGGGGACGAGGATGGGGAGGAGGAGGCGGCTGCAGCAGGAGCTGGGGGGGTCCTGATCGGTCTGAACCCCCTTCCCGACGTGAAGCTGAACGACCTGCGGAGCGCGCTGGAGACGCGGCTGAGCCAGGTGGCCGAGGGCGCGCAGCACCTGGGGCACAGCCGCCACATCCAGCAGGTGACACAGGACAGGAGCCCGTGACGTGGCTGTGGCTGTGCTCCATTGGGCTCACCCGTGCTGCTCAGGTATGGAGAGATCTAAGCCAGCAGCTCTTTGCTGGATGCAGCGCTCGGATCCACGGGATCTCCTTGGATCCCTGAGCACCGCCCCGAGGGCTTCCACAGCAGCACCCCCAGTGTGTGCCTGCGGGCAGCCGAGGAGATGGTGGCATTGGAAGTGACATTCCTGCTGTCCCCTGCCTTCCAGAGCTGCCATCCACCTCGGCTTCCTGCCAGGCCGCTGCTCCAAGGACCTTTTCCAGCATCTCATTCATATCAAATTGCCTTCTCCAACCATCTCCCAAATCCTCTCAGAAGCAGGAAGGGGCTCTGCTGTCCCAGCTGTGCCGAGGGGACCTGGGATGCACACCTTGGGAAGGGCTTTACCCCAGAGAAGCTGTGAGCTGAGGACCAGGAGATGCTCCAGTGCTGGATAGGGAGCAGAGCCTCATTTGTTTGGGACACAGTGGTGGTTTAGGAGCCTCCTTTAGTAGAAACGCTGCCTTAACCGGGCACAACAACTGTTGTGCTGCCTCTCTCCCAGGGATGGGATTCCTTGGCCACACACTGGGGTCACACAGAGCTCTGCCCCCGCTACCCTCCCTGGGTGCTCCTCTCTACGTTCCCCAGCTCTACTTCCCCTCTCAAAAGTGCATTAAGAAACTGAACTTCCACCCAGCCCTTCCCAACCGAGCTTGATTTTTCTGCCAGAGGTGAGTAGTTTGGGAAAAAACATGGCAGAGCCAGGTGGATCCAAGGGCTCCACCTGCCTCTTCCTGTGTTCCGGGTGCTCTTCCCAGCCTCCCCCCGCCCTGTTCTGCATCCAGACAGGTCTTTGCTCCACCTCTGGAAATTTGTTTGTTGAGTGAGGAAGGGAAGAGCTTCCCCAAGAACTCTGTGTTGTTTCAGGCTTCATCCCTTGGGGGTTTTTTGGGTTTTGTGTTTTTACTTCCTGACCTGCGAATGTACAGAATTCAATCCCAAAGCTCTCCCTAGACTGGCTGAGAATTCCCAGCCTGGAGCCCTCAGACCTCATCACTGTGGTGGGTTTTATATCCCCAAATGTCTTTGGTAACCTCGAGTCTGTGTCCAGTGGGACCCTGCAGAGCTGGGACGGGGTGGGACTGTCCCTGCCTGGTGCTCCCAGGGTGTCACAACCCCGAGTGACAGGGAAGCGACCTCGGGAGTCCTTTGGGAAGATCACCCGGAACACTGTGGCCTTAAACCCCCTGAACCTAACGAGCTTCTCCATTAATTAACGCTGTCGTCAAGCACAAGCACCACGGCCGAGAGCCCCGGAGCCGCTCCGAGAGGCAGGGATGGGCTCTGGAGCACGGCTCCAGCCCTGCTGGATCCTGGGGAGATGGATCCGGGCTGTGGCACCAACCAGCCTTGCTGAAGTGAGAGGGAGCCGGATCGGCTCCTTCATTCCCTGTGCTGCGGGCTCAGACCCGCCTGTCTGTTGTTCTCTGTGTGAACAGAAGGGACCAAAGACGCTCCTGACATTCCTGATCCTGGGAATGGCGTGGGCACCCCGAGCTGGGCTGGAAGCTGGCAGGAGCTGCCTTCTCCCGCCGGGAACGGCTCCCCCGGGGTGGGTGGAACGCTGAGAGGGAGAGCCCGGAGCGCGGGCTGAACCCATCAATAAAATAAGCTGAAGCATTCTGATCTGAATTCTTTTATTTTTTTAATAAATAAAAATAGGTCTGTGACCCTCACCCAGCCCGAGGCTGCACCTACTCCGGACCGGGGAGCGGGTGGGCAGCTCCGGGACCGGGGAGGTTCCGTCATTTGAGGACAAACCGGTGGATTTGAGGGTTTTCTTACCCCCGAGCGTCTCCAGACGGGGACGGCTCCGGGGTCACTTCGGTGTCGCCTTTGCCTGCAAAGAGCGGCGGTCAGGACGGGCCGAGGCCGCCTCCCTCCGCCAGCACCGGGATCGGATCTGGGACGGGGACTGGGACAGAGACGTACCGCCCGGGCGAAGCATTCCCGCAGCGCCTGGAACTCCTCCAGACACGCGTCCCGCCGCAGCTCCGCCGGTCCCGCCGCCGCCGCCGCCACGCACCGCCCGTAGGCCGCGGCCTGCGGGAATCACACGGGACGGGAGCGGGGGCTACCGGGACCCGCCCACCCCGGAGCCGCCCCCCTGTGCCCCCCGGCCCCACCTGGTCCCCGCAGGCCGCCAGCGCCGCCGGGAAGCGCCGCAGCCGCGCCCGCGCCCGCAGCCACACTCCGCGCCCCGACATCGCCTCAGCGCACGGGCGCCGCCATTCCCGGGCGGCCGCCATTGGCTGCCCGCCCCGCTCGTCACACACCGCGCTCTGCTATTGGGTGCTAACACCCCGAACCGCGCCCCTTCTGATTGGTTATTCGGCGCGGGCGGCTGTGATTGGCGGGAGTGCCGGTTGTTTACTTCCCGCCTCCTTCAGGCGTCAACTTCATGGGGCTCTTCCGCCTGGAGCCCCTCCCTCTCTCACCGCTGACTGGTTTAGCGGCAGAGCTTCGGATCCTCATTGGTGTAAATCAACTTCCGGGGGGCGGTTCCCTGACGCCGCCGGGGGACCGGGCAGGGCCGGTGCCGGCAGTGTCATGGCGGTGCCGCTGCGGGATCGGCTGAGTTTCCTGAGCCGGGTACGGACGGGGGCTTTAGGGGAGTGCGGGGGGGGTCCGCCGGGGCGTGACGTCGCTGCTCACTCTCGACGTCATCGCTGCACCCCCCCTCTCGCTGTGGCCGGCCTCACACAGCCCTGACCGGGCCGGGCCCGTCCCGGGGCCTCGGTCCAGTCCCCGCCACCGGGGTCCGGGGTGGGTTCGCCCCCTCTCACGCCGCCCTCTGCTCCTCCAGCTGCCGGTATTGCTGCGGGGCACGGCCGACGACGACACCCCCTGCCCTGGGTACCTGTTCGAGGAGATCGCCAGTATCCTTCAGGAAGGGAGGGAACAGGGCAGGGGGTTGCCCGGGACAGGGAGGGGATCCCGGGACAAGGGGAGCTCCCCGGGGCTGCTCCAGGCCGTGGTGGGCTCTGGAGGCCTGTGGGGCTGGTTGGGGGCAGCCATGGGACTGTGGGTCCTGGCTGGGACCCTGTGGAGAGGCTGAATTCCTGGCACTTGGGAGGCTGCTGGTGCCCTCTGATCCCGGCTGGATCCCTAACTCGTCCCTAGAGATCTCCCACGAGTCCCCCGGGAGCAGCCAGTGCCTGCTGGAGCATCTCCTCACACGGCTGCAGAGCAGCTCCTGCCACGTCAAGTTGAAGGTGAGTCTGTGCTGGGAGCACTGGGTGGGCGATGGGATGGAACCCCCCCGCTCTAGGGAGGGCAGCTGTGACCTGACCTTGTCCCCCGAGCCAGGTGCTGAAGATCTTGCTGCACACCTGCTCCCAGGGCTCCCCTCAGTTCGTCCTGCAGCTGAAGCGGAACGCTAACTTCATCCGGGAGGCTGCAGGTAACGAGCTGGGGGCACTTGGCAGAGCAGCAACAGCCCTGTGGGGGGCTGGAGACCTCAGAAGGGCTCCTGCTTCAGGGGTGCTACCCCACCTGGGTGCATCCCCCACCCTCCTCTCTCTGTGTCTGCAGTGTTCTCCGGGCCCCCAGACCCCCTCCACGGCAACAGCTTGAACCAGAAGGTGCGGGCGGCTGCACAGGTGGGTGCTGGTGGGAGCCCCCTCCTCTGAGGACTCTGGGGTTCCCAGCGCTGCCCACGCTCCTCTCTCTCCCTCTTTCAATGCCACAGGACCTGGCCAGCATTCTGTTCTCGGATGCGCCGCTGCCGCAGCCCCTGGCGCTGCCCGCCCGGCCCGCGGCCCCCGCCGGTGAGTGCAGCCCCCCCGGGACAGGCCCTCGGTCACAGGGGTGGGGAAACATCAGGAAAAGGGAACCCTGAGTGCCTGTGTTCTCTCTGACATTCCCTGTGCCTCCCCAGGGATGGGCTCCAGCCCCAGCCCCTGTGGCTCCCTGCAGGGATTCGGCTTCAGCAGCGACAAAAGCGGCTCTGGTGAGTCCTGGCTGGGCCCTCACTGGGACCTTTCCCGCTGGGAGCTGGGGCAGGGCCATGGGGGTCACTTTGTGCCTCATCTTCTGAGCTCCCAGAGTTCCCTCACCCCCTTTTCCCAGGCTGGAACTCAGTGTTGGGGTGATCCCATGGGGCTGGGCTCCCAGGATTCTCCCAACATCCCAGCCTCTCGCAGCTTCCACAGGAGAGGCTCTGCTGAGCAGCCTCCAGCGAGCGGCCGAGGCTGTGGCCCAGGCTGTGCTCCCGGCACCGGGGGAGCCCCGGCGGCTCCGTGGGGACCTCCCTGAGGACACCTACGAGCCTGTCCGAGCTCCATCCCCCGCCAGCAGCCCGGCCGTGCCACCCCCGACCCCTCCCGCGCCGCGTGGGTCCCGAGGTGGGTCCTGCCAGAGCAGCCGGGGGAGTTTGGGGGGTCCCCACCCCAATGCTGGGGGGTTTGGGGACCCCAGCTCAGCAGCACTGTCCCTGCAGTGAGCCACCAGCCCGGGCTGGCCGGGGGCGGCTGGGAGGAGGCAGACAGCGGGCACAGCTCCCGGGAATCCTCGCAGGGCAACGAGCGGAGCCGCACCTCGGACTCGGGCAGCAAATCCGGCAGCGACAGCCGCTCCGGGGCCAGCCGGGAGCTGAGCCACGGGGCTGAGAGGTGAGAGGGGCCCGGGGGGCTCCCCTGGCCTGGGGCTGTCCCAGGTGCATTCCCGGGAGCCCTGCCCTCGTTTTCCACACCGTTGATCCAGAGTGCCCCCAGCGCTGCTGGCTGTGTTCTGCCTGGGATGTTTGTTCTGCCAGCCATGGCAGAGCTGCTCAGGGGTGGGGGTCCCTGTCTGTCAGGGGGTGTGCAGGGACCCCAGGAGGAATAAGCAGGTGGCCCCTGTGCCCACGAGGTGTGTCCACAGCAGGGTAGATGCTGACAGCCCGGGTGACTGCCGGAGGGAGCTGAGCCTGGTGTCGGGACTGACACGCGGGGCCAGGGTCTTCCTCACCAGGGAGGAAGCTCAGCACTTCCTCAAGGAGTAAGTGTTAGAGGGGAGTGCTCCCTGGGGCTGGGGGGCTTCTGGGGTAACCTGACCCCATCCCTGGCTGCCCAGACCTGGACTCTGGGGATGGGAAAGCACTGCAGGTGACTGTGACCCCCACCCCTGTGCAGGTGTGGGCTCCTGAACTGTGAGGTGGTGCTGGAGCTGCTGGGCCGGGCACTGGAGGATCCCAGTGACAGCGTCCGCATGGTGAGCACAGGGGGCTCCCCTGGGAGGGCTGGGGGGCGTGTGGGGACCTGCGTGGCTCAGCCATGCTGCCCTTTTCCACAGAGGTCCATGTGTGCCATCTCTGCCCTCGGCTGCTCTGACCTGCTCTCCCCAGAGCAGATTTTTGCTGTGACCCAGCAGCGCCTCCAGCACCTCAGCCAAGGCAGCCCTGGGCCTGTGGCCAACCGAGCAACAAAGGTGACTCTGGGGACATCCCTGTGCCAAATCCCCAGGGTGGGGGCTCCTGGCACAGGTCTGACTGCCTTTGGGGACACACAGTTCTTGGGAATGGCTCCCAGAGGGGTGGCTTTGGCTGCCTTTTCCAGGAGCAGGGAACCTGGGTGGAGTGATGCTCCCTCTGAACTCTGGGAGGGGACGCTGGGGACAGTCCCTCTGCCTGGGAAAAGGTGCCAGGGCCAAGCCCCTTTGCTGATGCTGCTCTCACTCTGCCCATCCTGTCCCAGATGCTGCGGCAGTTCGAGGCACTGTGCCGGGCCCAGCCCTCCCCGAGGGCTCCACGCCCACCCTCAGCCCCCTCGGTGGGCTCGGCTGGGGACCTGCTCATGGACATCCCAGCCCTGGCCAGCGAGAGCTTCCTGACCCCTCTGAGCCCGGCCCCGACCCCTGCAGCCCCCACGGCCCCCAGTGAGGAGCCAGGGGTGGCATCAGAGCCCCCTGGGCAACCCGGGGCCGCAGTGCCAGCCTGTCCCTGCGAGCAGGACGGGGGCAGCAGGCTGGCAGGGGACACGGCAGCCCCCAGCCTGTCCCTGTTTGCTGGCATGGAGCTGGTGGCCCCTCCTGGCACAGTGCTCCGGCCACACTCGCCGCCAGTGGAGCCACAGACGCCATCCCAGCCCCAAGATGGGGGCACGGACACCGAGGGCACCCTGCAGCCATCGGCCTTCGCCTTCCTCAACATGTAGCTGCTGTGAGGCCCCGGGGGCTGCGGGGGCTCTGCCCCCATCCCTGCGGGGCCTGCACTGTCCTGGTGCCTCAGGGGGGACACGGTCTGAAATGGCCACAAGGGCCAGGGCTTCCGTCAGGTGACAATGTCCCTCTCACTGTCTGCGGTGTTCCAGGGCAGGCAGAGAAGCACGACCCCTTGCTTCTCTGTGCTGGACAGGGGTGTGGGACTTGCTGGGACTGAACTGGGGGTGCTTTAGGAACCCCAGCACGGCCATGGGTGTTCTTGGGTGGCCTCTAGCTGCTGCCTGGGCTCTGTGAGGGTGGGGTGGGTGAAGGCGCCATCCCCATGGGGCTGGGACCCACCAAATAAACCCCCACTCGGGTCTGGGAACGTGTGACTTCTTCCTGCGCCTTTGACAGAGCCTGGCCCGTGGCTCCTCCTCCTACATTTTCCTATAGCCCCATGGACCCTCAACAGGCTCACAGCTTCCCACTGTTCTCCCTCACGCTACAACCCCCCTAGTAGCCTCATGGTTCCCCCCTCTTCCTCACAGCTCACTTCCTACCCCAGAACCCCCTAATAGCTCCACTTTTTTTTATGGCCCCCAAGAATACCATGAGCCCCCCTGCCCCATAGTTCCGTCTCGCCAACCTGCCTCGTCCAATAGCCCTATGACTCCCTCATCTTCCTGACAGCTCCCCCCACTCATAGCTCCCCAGTAGCCCCAGTCCCCAAAATCTCATTTTCCCCCGAAAACACCCCATGGCGCCCCGCCCACGTGGGCTGAGCCCCGCCCCTTTCTCGCCCCGCAGAGCCACGCCCATCCCATACTCTCCTCTCATTGGTTTGCTTCCGATAAGCACCGCCCCCACAGCAGTCCACGCCTCCCTCTCCATCCCTCCTTACTCCCGCCCCCTCCCTCCGCCTCAGCCAATCGCGTCTCTCCCCCCGCCCTTTCCTCCCTTCCCATTGGCCGCTCGCCGCCAGCCCCGCCCAATGGCTGTGGCCGGAGCGCGGCCGTAGGTGAGGGGATGGGGGCGTTTAATGGCGGCTGACGGGGGTCCAGGGGAGCCAAGGGAGTTCCAGGGGCAGCGGGGACAGGGTCAGGGCCTCGCTTTCGGCATCTCACCCGCGTGTGGGTGCGTGGGGCTCATTACCGTGGGCGTGAGAGGTTGGGGTCTGAAGGCTTGAGGAGGCTTGGAGGGTTTGGGGTCTGGGCTGGAGGTCTGCGGGGATTGGGAGTTGGGGGGTCCTGGAGGGGTCTGGGTCATGAGGGGCTCGGGGCCTGGGGATATGGGCTGGGGTCATGGGAGGCTTGGGGCTGGGTTTTCTGGGGGTCCTGGGGAGGGGTCTGGGCCATGGGAGCTTGGAGTTGGGTACCTTGTGGCTCTTGGTGGGGGTCTGGGACTTGAGGGGCTTGAGACCCGGGGATGGAGGTCCTGGGGCCAGCTGGGAACTGGGAGCTTGGGCTTGGACCTGTGGCTGGGGTCCTGAGCCTTGGGAGTGGGGGAATTTGGGGGGATCTGGGTTTTGGGGGCTTAGAGGCATAGGTGTGGCAGCTGGATCATCCTGAGGGGCTCCGGGATTTGGGAGCTTCAGGCCAGGGCTTATCTCTGTGTCATAAGGGGGCTTGGGGCCATGAGGGGCCTGGGGCTTCAAAGCTAGGGAGTCTGAGCTTCAGGGATTTGGGAGGCTGGGGCTCAAGGTGCCGTGCTGGGCCTGGGCTCCTGAGCCTGTGTTCCTGCCGGGCGGTTTCCATGAGAGCCGTTTGTTTCCCCAGGCTGTGGAGCCAGAGGCATTGCCAAGGGCTGTGGTGGAGCCCTGAGAGGGGAAGCCAGGTCTGCTAGGGGAGGGAGTTTAGGGACAGTGTGGGTAATAAAGAAATAAAGTGATCTGGTGTTTTCGTGGATCAGCACTGGGGCTGGCAGAATGCAGAGGGGAAGAGGTGGGAATGTGCTGCCCCAAGCTGGGAGGGGTCCCAGCTTTTCCTGTGCCTCCCGAGAGGGCATGGACACTTCTGAACAAACTCTTGGCAGGGACTGGGAGCTTGGCAGGAGAGGATCCTTTGGGAGCTGCTCAGGTGGTTCTTCGGCATCTCAGCCTTATGTGGGTTGTGGAGTGAGCTGAACCTCCAGCCTGTACAGATGGGGCCGTTCTGGGCCCGTGTGATCCTCTGGCAGCCATGGGCTGTGTGGAGTGAAGGAGCCTGGGAAGGGGAGCAGGGCTTTTCCCTCCCTTTAGTCTTCTGCTGGAATCCCATAAATGTGACAGCAGCTCATGGGGGAGTTCACCTGGGCTGTGTGTGGGTTATTTGCCACGTGGCAATTTGGAGGAAGGTGTTTTGTCCATTTGGGCAGCAGTTCCAGCTCTGTGTGCCGGTGCTCGCCTGGCTCTGAGGCTGGATGCTCCATGCCTTCCCCTCTCTGTGCTGTGCTTCCAGGGCTCCTTCCTCCTGCTCCATCATGAAGAGCACCCGGAGCTGCTGCTCCGTCCAGAGCTCTGATGTCGCAGACCTGATCCTGACGGGGCTCCCGGCGCCGGTGTCGCGGCGCCCCGGCAGTGCCTCTCCTGCCAAGCTCATGGCACGCTCCGTGTCCGTGGCTGCCGACAGCAAAGCCAAGAGGAACGCCCCGGTGAGCCCTGTCCTTCCCTTTCCTGTGCCAGGGCAGGGAGCTCATGCCTGGCATATGGGATGGCTCCAGGCACGCCCATGTCCCTCTCGATGTGGTTCCCCCAGCACCAGCTCGGCTTTGTTCTTGCACTGCCCTCAGTGATCACTGCTGGTGGCTCTCTGCTCGGTGCAGAAGTAGGGAGCATCAGGATTCCATCTTTTCCCATCTTGCCCTTCACCTCCCTGCACTAATTTCCACCTGGCAAGTCCCGATTTCCCTGCTGGGATGTCAGGCCCAGCCTGCTCCTGTTCCTGCTGCACTGGGGGCTCCTGAGTGGGGGTTCCACAGAGGGAATGAGCCCCAGGTGCTTGCTGGGTTCTGTCAGGATCCAGCAGACAGTCTGTGCTCCATGCTGAGTAATCCTTTGGCAGCATTCCCACGCCCTTGTTCCCTGGAGCTTGTGCTAAGGAACGTGTTCCTGCTGGCTCAGCAGTGCCCGACTGAGGTGTCATTGCTTGCTACCTCAAGGAGAGCTTGGCAGCCCTGGGGTGGTGGGAACTCCGTGTCCCACTGGGTGAGAGGGTGGGGAGAGCCTGCCTGTGCTCTTCCTGAACGTGGCTGCTGAATTTATCCCTGCTCTCCACAGGAAGATGCGGGATCCCGGGCCATGAACAACCTGCGCAGGTCCAACAGCACCACCCAGGTGAACCAGCGGGTGAACAGCTCACACAGGTACAGCTCCAGCCACAGACTGTGTCCATCTGTCCTGTGGGTGGCACTGGGGGACACCCCACCCATGTGTCCAACCTCTCTGTGTGGGAACAGGAGCCTTTCCAAAATACCCTGAGCTCTGTCATGCACATCAGGAGTTAAAACCTGGCCACGGAAAACCAAGGTCTGGCGCTTTGGTTATTTTTTTGAGGAGGAAATCCCATGTTTAGGGTTTCATAGGATCACAGAACAGCCTGACTTCTCTGTCAGAGTAGTGCCCAGCTTCTGTGAGCAACTTGTGCCAAGGCCTCACTACCATCACAGGGAAGAATTTCTATTTGGGGAAAGGGAGTGTATTTCTGTGGCTGTGACAAAAAACATTCCATTTGATTCCAACAGCCCTCATGGACCCTCCAGGCCATAACTGGGCTGTGTGAGGAGACAAAAGTTCTCTGTTCCCAGTGCCTTCTGAGTTGGGATTTTCCATTCTCCTGTTGGTCTGTGCCCATCCCTATCACTACACACCACCACAGTTTTACCATCTGTGTAAAAACGAGTCGTTTGTGGATTTTGTGGCCATGTAACGATTCTCCAGCCCCTTTCTCCTCTGTGTCACACTGGAGTATCTAAATGCCCTGCATAGCCAGAGTGTGTCCGTGGCTGGAGTTATCCCAGAACCCCTGTTCTCTCCTCTCTGCCTTCCCTGGGTCTGGATAAAGCTCGGAGCAGACAGCAGACTTCCTGGCCTTCTTTGAGGGCGATCCAGGAGGAAGGAAGAAACTGGCAACTCTGAGCAAAACCTCCCCGGAAAAGAAAACCACATGGAATATCTTGGTGAGGACAGCAGGCTCTGGGAGTGGGTGGGCCAGGTCGGCTCTGTGCTCCTGCTGGTGTTTGCCCAGGTGGGTTTAGTACCCTTATCCCTGCTGTCTCCATGGCAGGATGACCAGCCCCGGGCATTCCCAGGCCTCTCTGGCTCCCACAGCCTCGAGCTGCCTGCGGGCATGAGGAGGAAGGAAGCCACCGTGCTCCTGGCTGCCAACTTCACTGCCAACAACAGGTGGGACAAAGGGTCCTGAGGAGGGGAGTGGGCAGAACTGCAGGGAGAAAACACCCAGAGGGGGGATGGTGCTGTTCCTGACGCTCCTGTTCTCTCCACACAAGGAGCAACAAGGGCGCAATGGGCAACTGCGTCACCACCATGGTGCACAACAACTACTCCACTGCTGAGAAGGGCCCTGCTCCCAAGAGCTCCAACCAGGCTCCCAGTTCCCTCAAGTGAGTGTGGGGGGTGTCCTGGCTCTGCAGCTAGGCTGGCCCCAGGGTTGTGTGTGGCACAGAACAGGGCTGAGTGGCTTCATCTTGTGTCCCAGCAATGTCGTCAAAGCGACCTCGAACGAGGACGGGGAAGGCAGCAGCAGCTTCGTGAAGTCTCAGAAGAATTTCTCCAGCAACAACATCATGACCCGCAACAACAACAGCAGCAGTAGCAGCAGCAGCAGCAGCAGCGTTCCCCGGAGGAGGGAGGTGACCGAGGAGGAGGCCGAGAGGTGAGGGAAGGGGCAGGAGGGCAGTGCCAGGAGGTGTGAGGAGCTCCAGGGCAGTTCGTTCTTGTCCTGTGGGATTTCACGCTGGGGAAAGGCCACTCTTAGTGCACTCTCCTGGTGCTGTGGGGAAGCCACAGTGTGAGCTG